GCCCAGATGCGCATGATTAAACATCTCTAATATGCATTTTATAGGGTGGTTTTCCCTTTAAGCTCAGCTGTAAAATTGGTTGTGCTCCTGACTATAAAAATGAGTGTAAACACCATGGTAAGACTATAAGAGCTGTTGTCTGAAGCCTTCAGAAAGAAGCCAGTAGAGGCTTATAAGTCTGGAAAGAGATGTCAGATGAGATGTCAGGAGGATTTGAAATCAGCCACTCCTCTGTAAGGTTAATAGTCGGGAGCATTTAAAACGAAACAAAATGTCCAGCCCTGACCATCCATGCAGGTTCACTCTGAAAGGAGATGTCAAGATGCTCAACGTCTGTAAACCATAAAACGCTATGACAGTCAGAAAGAGACTAAAGAAGTTAAATTTTTATGGGAGGCCTTTGCTCTTTAAGAAGAACATGAAGCCAAACAAATGTTTTCTAGAGAAAATGCAGAAAATGACCAGCACTTCTTTGAAAAGATTATAAGCATCCAGCTCTGACAAAACACCTTAAGAGCAAAGAAAACTGAATGTTTTGATTCGTTGTTTGTTTTTGCTGAAAAGCACAAATATAGTTCAGAATATAGTTGATCAATTCACTAATTCACTTAAAGCCATCGTTACATGTGTCATCATGCTGTGTAAGCTACACCGTTCTATTTTTAGTCCTGGTCATGTTCCCACATGAATTAAAGATTCACATCTCCTCAATAATTCACCGTCACTGAGAAAGATCTTTTAGTCGGCTTCCCACTCTCAGGTCGCGCTGTGCTTTGAAGCGCCCACCTGTGCACCTGTGTTTTCATGCTGGACCGATTCCTGTCAGCGTTGTCATGAGAGAGCCTGGCTCCCCCAGTGATTGATTCATAAAAGGCCCCCCATTTAATTACTCCCAAAATCAGGTTGCACTGATACATGGGAGATGAGTTTGCTTTATAGTGGCAGTGTGAGAACAGATCTGAGCCACCGCATCAAATAACAAACCCCCAAACCGCACTGCCATCCCTGCCTCTCATATCGTCACGGCTGCTCGTTCAGCTGAATAGGATTTCAAGTCTTCGGTGCTGTGAGCAAAGAGATTTCCTCCCACCCTGTGAGTCAAGTTGTGTCAGAGCAGGTCTAATAAACTTGTTTATGTTTTAAACACAGTGGGATCATTCTGGGTCATCCCCGCAGAAAAATAAACACAGCAATAACGGTCTCTTATTAAATCTCTGGCTTTATTGGCATGATTTCCTACTTGTTTACAAGATTAACATAATATATACTAAAGCGCCCACTGACTTGCGACGCTCCCAGTTGTTTTGTTTCAGCCAGAGGTATTGATTGGGCCCAAGCGCCGAAAGGCACTGCAAAGACCTGTTGAGATGCAAACAAAAACCAAACTTGGCTCACAATTATTTTCTCTAAGAACTTTTCTGTGTTGATGCTAAATGAAAATAATTTGCTTTCTTCAAAAGTAAATCATTTTAACTTTTTAAACCACATCTTGTGTGTGTGTTTGAACAAAATTCAACTTGGCTAATTGAGGGTTTACACTAACCTGTTTGGGATTATTGACAAATAAAAATGTAATTTGTGTCTATACTGCAAGCTGTTTTTCAATAACTTGATCAGTTGGATTTTTGTTTAATTTAGAGAGTGTATGTGTGTATGTGGAGGACAAGACACAGGGTTTTGCAAAATTAGCTCACAGATTTTACTGAAGATAATACTTCCAGGTATAAAGCAAGTTCAAACAAATATTTGTGAGCGTCACCATGAAAGTAAATAAATGAATAAATAAGCCTTTAATGTTCCTTATTTGTGCCCCATTAACTGAGCTGATGGACCAAACTATGGGGCTGTTTCAACACAAGCAGCTAAAGGACACGCCAGATGATTAATGACATCTGGACAGGTGGTAAGAATTACGGGTTGCAAGTTGAAAGGACACAAGAAGGAGACAGGCTGGGTGTCTATCAATATAAAATACAGACTCAATTCAAATAGTTCTTATACATTTTATTATGTTTCATTTATTGCTGAGCTAAATCATCTTTGTCAATTTTCCAGGGACACACAAGGGGAAAAATTATTTTGCGCTTCACCTTCACAGTAGCTTTTCTGAATGTAGCTACAAGGTGCAACTCTTTTCCTCAGATTACGACATGAGTCTTGAGTTACCTTCCCCAGCTTTGGAACTGTGGGGATAAAGAGCCATTAATCAATCTAATTCTCCTATTTAATCTGCATTTCTCTTTAAGAGGCTCAGCTTGCCTTTCTGGCAGAAGCTGCTCAATCGTTCTTGCTTAATAGGTGAAGAAAACAATTGTCCTGGAGACCAATGTGCATCTTAACCTTTGAGGTCATGTTGTACACTTGAGAACAATGTCCAACACCAGCAGATTTTCTGCAAAAAAGGGGGGAAAGTCCAGCATCTGGCCAGGAAGGACTTCTTCCCCTCTCCTCTTTGTGGTTTAACATTTTCTATCTCTGCTGGCCGTTTTTTCTTCTTCTCTAGCACTTCACAGCTTCACTCCTTGATATGCAATTTCAGAAGACTGCTCCTGATTCCCATTTTCTCCCCAGTCCATTGTACCACAAGCAAACAGCACCTCTGTTCATCCTATGCTGTATTATGCCCCAGCTCCCTGGTTTCCCAACAAGACTCTTTGATGTCAAATTGACACTTTAGTGAACAGCTCTTCATGGATTTGAGATTGCCTGGCAACTGCAGAAAACCCACTTCTTCCGACTTTGTTAGGTTGAGGAGTGGCTGGTAGGGGACGACAGTCTGGATGGTAAAGAGGAAGGGTTGTGATGGTATTAATAATAATGGCGATGCAGCTTTCTGTTTGGCTTGCCTGAAGGCAACGGAGTAAAATTAAAGCCCAGAAAATCGGATTACAAACTCCCTGGGGGCGGGATGCCCAGTAGCCAGCTGATGAACGCTCATCTACTCTTAGCCGTGCCGGGTGCTGCGAGAGCCGCTGTTGGCTGGGAGGCCAATTTGCTAACCGTTATTGCTCGTTAGTGCAACTTCCTGCACATGAAAGGGGGTTCCAGAGGGGAGACAATAACCAAGGTCTATTGTCTTGCAATTATCGCAGTTTGAGGGCTGGTGGTGGTTGATGCTTTGCCTCTCAATTCTCCAGGTTTACTGATTGCCAATTTACTCCAAGAACCCCCATCTCCTCCATTAGCGACGTCACATGTGGTACTTGTGTTATAAATGTGCAACAAATTATTTTTTATTTGTTGCTGCAAGTTGTCAACTTGCGCTGCTGTTGGTGGAGAATTGTAGACTGCAGTAAAAACTGCATGATATCGAAATATTTTTAAATATTCAGGAAGGTCAGAGTGTTCCACCTGCTTTTTGTAAGTTGGGATGAATAAGTGTTTTTTTTTCTTTTTTAAGTTTCTATTTTTGTCATTAAACAGAAAATGTCATATTCTACAGCAGAATATTTTATTGTTGCTGCATGAAATCAAGATATTTTCCAGAACCATGGCTTTCAATATTTTTTTACTTTTACCTTAATTAATGCAGGTTACTTATGACACAAGGTACCACAAATGTGATGCACTTGACAAATGTTAAGTGCAGCAGTACAATATTTTCTGAGCATGTTTGAGAAAATGGTGTGCTAGTGCATTTTATTTTTTTATTTTTTTTTTTTTACTTTTTACATCATGTCATAAAAGTAGACATAGTTTACATAGTGCGAGAAATTATGACTTTTTTACATATATATATACATATAATACTGACATCTTTATTCCTGAGGTGCAATCCAGTTTTTCTGTGAGAAATAGAGTAGCTACCAGAGACTGGCTGTTCTGATTACAGCCATGTTGCTCAAACATTGTGTTGCTCAGCAAAACAAAAACATTCTGCTGGAAAGTTATTCAGAAAAAAGCAAACAAAAAAAAACAAGAACTATTGACATATGTGTACAATATAGAAACAAAGCTGATCAAAACTGTGACAGAACATGACTACTTAACTCAATTAAGTAGAAAATTACAACCTAATTGAATGCTGCCTTATCTAAATTCTAACTCTAGTCTCTTTTGCTACTATTGTGAATAGCATGTAGGCCCGGCTTGTCACAGAGAACTTTATCATTCTTGACTATGGTGCTGGTCTGATAGGTTTCCAAAATGCTGCTTTGAGGCTTTTGAAAAATCACCTCATAAATACTCAACATGTCAACTCATCTCTGAGTTGAAAACGTAGTAAGCAATGATAAACCTATTTAGATGTATGACGTCATTCTCGCATAGATTGATTTTAAATTGATGTTTACAAAATGGTGATTTTTTTCCCCCCTCTTTGGGTTTCCATAGTTCAGAGTGATGTCAGCCCACCCAAGAACTCTCACTGTTTATGACAAGCATGTTTTACAGCTCCTATTGATTTCCATGGACTTCAAGTAAACTCACAGCAGGAATGATTGAAATAAAAGCCTGTCATTTCTAACTTTTTAAGGAAAAAAAGTAAGGACAAAAAAAAAAATAAAATAAAAAATCAGAAATTGGATTTGGTATAAAAATATGGGATTTTTATTTTTAAGCCATGTTTGAAGATGTCAAATGTAAGGTTTGGAATATCTGCATGTTGAACCTTTTTTCAACATATTTTTAAAAAATTTTTATTTCATGTTTTTTTTTTTTTTTTTTTACAAACTTTAATAAGGCGTAGGAGCCTTTCTGCCAGAGCATGCTGCCTCAGTGCAATCAGCAGTATCCGCGCTTCTCACACAAAGAGGCTTATTGTGTCACTGCCTCGGCGTTAATGAAGCGTCTCTCCTGCAAGCCCCTCCTCCTTCCCTCAGACTCCTCCCCTGCGCCCTCCTTCCTCATGAATATCCCAGCGGCCTCCTTCAATATTCATAACCTTGTGTCAGCGTGGTAATGTGCGCCGAGACCGAGAGGGAAAAATAAAGGGGGCGCGGGGATGAGTGTGTGGAGGGGGTGGGGGGGAGTGTCTGCGTGAACTGGAGTCACAACTCTGGTGCGCGACCGTCTGAGTCTGAGGGTAAAACGAGGAGAGCGTGCAGACGCAGCTGCTGCTACTTGTGTCGTCCCCTGAAGCCGCGGTGACGCTCGCCACGTCGGAGCCCCTCTCTCCCTGTTGGACTCTGCCGCTCTGAGCTGCCGCTGGCTCTTGAGTGCGTGAGTCTGTGAATGGGATGCCGCGAAGATGCGCTTGCTGAGGGGTGACTGATGAGAGCCGGAGCTCCGGAGTGGATGGTGACCCCACAGTGTCCGTAGCCACCGCTGCTCGGGGAGATTTGGGCGCCTGGCGTTTCCACGACGACTATAATGGGCTGCAATCTGTGCACTTTACAGAAGCGAGAGGAACACTACAAGCTGCTGTATGAGATTGCACAGGTGAGCGCTGGCATGGCAGAGCCTGGCATTAATTCTGCATGTGGGCTTATGTAATTCCTGGTGCATGCTGAGACGAGAGCACTTCTACTCTGCAGCCCTGATGTTGCTGTTTCAGGTAAAAAAAGAAAAAAAATGCAGGTGAAGATTGGGAAGAGGGATTAATGTAGAAAATGAAAGTGATGTAGAATAATGGGGAGGGGGTTCTTACTCAACAGCAGAGTGTTTTTGGAGTAATGAGTAGTTGCTTAGAGAGCAGCTAGTGTGCAGCCCATTCATCCTGCCAGATGAGCTGTGCTGAGAGAGCAACTTTTTTTTTTTTTTAACGGAATAGTGTTGGTACCTGGCTGCTACTATTTTGGGTTTATGTGTTTGTAACCATTTATGTCTTAGAGATTGTGTGTGATAAATTAAAATAGCATGCCTTTTCCAAAGATATTTCTCACCCCCCTTTCTAGGATCCAAACAGACTTTTGTTTTGGTTTCTTTGAAAACCAGTTCAATTAAATTCACTAAGACTTCAAATCAGAATTTTATGTTGTAGTACATTTTGTTCATAAAGCTTCTTCAAAAACTCATCTTGAATGGTTATGTTTGTGGGCAGCGTCCTGCAAACACCAAAACATCCTGACTTTGTCAAGAAGAAGCAGTGCAGTCTGCTACATCCCTGTTTGTTTGCTGTTGCTTCTCCAGTCTGTCGTCCATCTATTTATGCTCATCTACTTCCCTTGATGGAAATTGTCTATGATGTGTTCTCTCTTATCCTAAAATCCACAAAGTTACATAAAGACCACCTGGTCAAACACCAAACCCTTCAATCTTGACAAGCAAAAATGATCTCATTTAAAAACAAATCCCTTTTTGCCTCCTTTTTACTTGTTCACCATCCAATACCAAGGATGCAGAGCATGCCATCTCACTGACAGAAGCAACGTAGCTAAAGCAGCTAAACAAGTATTCACGCCATCACCTCCACTGTCTCCACAAGCCCTCTTTCTATGACAGGCTAATAACTGTGAGACTGTGGGTCTCTTGCAAGTGGAGTACCACTCACCTCCTCCCCTCTGGTAGTGACTGCCTTCACGCCGCTGTGATCACAGCCTCATTAGCCGTTTTATGCAACCATCCTGTGCATTAATTAGACGTGAAACGTCTCTCTTTACCCTTGTGAAGCGACGGTGTGAGATGACGCGCGGGGAGGTAAACCCGTTAGCTTTAACCGCCACTCGTACCTTTTTGGCTCATAACTTGAGACGCTATCAAACTCTGTTGATGCACATTGTCAAGTTGATTCGGTCCTGCATCAGTGACTGGGGAAAAAAAAACAAAAAAAAAACTGTCAAGTACGTTGCAGTGAGTAGGTAGTGACTGCACCTGCTGCCTTCCACCTAAAAACACATAAAAATTGTGTCTTTTTGATGCTTTTTAGGGCTTTTGTCTTTTTCTTTGCTTGACTAGGTGAGAGATTGTCTCAACGTGTTTTTCTCACGGTTCAGAGGAGCAAATCAGTATTTGCATAGCAGGGCCGGTCTCTTGGGCACGGTCGACTCTTCACAAGAGCTCTCCAGCTCGTCTGTCCACCCACTATTTTACTGAGCTTGTTCAGGCACGAGCTGCAACATCAGCACCTACTTTTTGATCACCACTGTGGGAGGCAAGGCAGGAAGGTTATAGAGTGTGGAGGATAAAGACAAGGATGGGAATAGCAGGCCATTAAACATGCAGAGTTTAAGGAAAATTAAGAAAGGCAGAAAGAACAAGTGAAATATCATCCGCATGGGGAAGGTATGGAGATTAAAACAAAAGATGTAACATGGTGTATCTTGTGAAATAAACAGCTCCTCTTACAGCCTTGCACTTGTACATCTGTGCGCCTGCCAGTGGATGTCCTCTGAGACGAGAAAACAAGCAGTGCGTTCTTGGCAACAACACAGCAAGTTCAGAAAAACATTATAAAAAACACAAACCAAATAAAAAACCCAGAGAAAGATACAGAGATAGATTCAGCGCAGAGACTTCTCGTGTAGCGGCGTGTTCTCCGCAGCTGTGCAAGTGTGTCACCACATCAGTTTCGTCTGGAAATGTCCGTTTTGACAATTGGAAGCTGCTCTTGCTGCTCTCTCCTCTGCCAATTTATGCTTCTTTCTTTCAAATCATCTGTCGAGAAGGCTTATCTTTCTCCCTCACTGTGTATTTTCTGGTATTTCCCCTCATTCCAACAGGCACAGTGACACTCATCCACATGTACACACACATACACTTTACTGGCATTATGCAAAGTTGGTGAATGCAGCATGCAGATGAGCTAAAGGCAGTTTGCTGCAGCGACACCCTGACTGACCAGCCTCATGGCAGCTTAGTATGAGCTTAGTATGAGTAGTACTTCTTCCTTCCTCATGTAGAAACTATTTTGACACTCTCTTCCTCGGCCTGACCCCAAAAGCTGTCTGAGATTTATTACCAGCCAGCTCTCTCCCTCTGCATCTTTGTGTTTCCTCTGTTCATGCAGGTGTTCTGCATGGAAATGTGGTGACCGTTTCTAGACTGGCTTGCAGAGCTATCTCAAGGAGCTGACTTTTAAAAAAAAAAGTATTTATTGACTCTGCTTTCTTCCCTGGTCAAAAAGAAAGAGAAACCTTGTGACAGCTCTTCTCTCACTGCCACCTACGACTGATTAACACTTGTCCGTCTTTCTGATGGTGCACTCTTCCTCGTTCTGTCTCTGTTTGATTCCTCTGATTGCTCTTCTTGATTGATTGCATTACATTCAACCTTTGCTCAAGCTGCTCCCAGCTGGATTCCACTCCAGGTAATCTTCCGAAAGTTTCCGTCTCATCTATAGCCAGGGAGGTGAGAAACTTTTTTTCATTCATTTGTTTCAGAGAGGAGCGCAGCAAGATCCTGTGGTACGAGACCTTGCAGTCACAATGTTTTTGGTCAATCAAATGACCATCTCTGTGGGGGGATGCCGTCCATCCACCTACAAAGGTCAAGAAGAGTTTGTAAAAATAGAGATCAAAAGAAATAGACGACTCAACCAAAGTAGAAGTTTACCTCACCACTAAATCAGAGTAACTTCATTGAACACACTGAATTTTGGTGGAAAAATGAATTCTGCACATCACCCTGATAACTTTTAACTCTATTTAGATCTGAGAGATTTATCAGAAAATGTAAAAAGACTATTTATGAAACCAAATATTGGAAAAAAAGATGTTTTGAGAGTTTTTTTTTTATGATGAGCATGAAAGAAGAAGTATAAAAACCACAATGTAGTCAAACCTTGACTGGATTATTCCACATTTATTTAAAACAATTTTTGAAAGACAGTATGTTATTTGTTGAAATGTTATTGTATTTGAGAAAAAATGTGTATTTTGTGTATCATCTTGGCATTTAAAATGGTACACAGATTGTTGCATCGCGCTGCCCTTCCAGTCAACCGTTCAGATGCAGTTTCTGCTGCTCAGGACCCAAAAACTAAACCATAGACAGCTTCCTCTCTGTTATAATAGGACTCTATGACTTCAATGTCCACGGGCTTTCTCCTGTGAGTAGTCCACATTGTGTGCGCACCACTAAAACTCAGTGAAGTGTGGCTCTTTGGAGTCTAATTAGCAGGATGGCAGATGTTGAGGAGTGGCAGTTTAGCATAGATCAGAGTGAGAGTGAGATTTCTGTTATATGCAAATGCATTAATCGTCTGCATTGTCTTTCTTGCTACAGTTTCCAGTAGAGCTAAAGGTCACAGGGGAGCCGCCATGACTGTCAAACCCGACATTTGAACCAGCACTGTGTCACATTAGCAAGCAGAAGCACTTTATGTTTGTTGGGTAATGAATTTCCCCACCTCGCTCTTCAGAGGACAGACGTGCTGTATTTCATTATCTTGTTTTATACTTTTCCCCGTGAATCTTTTCGTTTTTTATTAGTGGAAGTTTGTGAAAGCAGCAGGGCCAGTTTGGTAAGTTTTATTAGGCACAAGAAGAATCACTTTCCACTGCATTTGAGAAATAAATGGAAAGCAGCTTCTCGGCTCAATGAGGCACAGCGGTCCCTGATAACTTGCTGATGCATATGAATGAGAATGAGGCACCAACACACACGCACACTCAGTCTCACTCCATGCACAAATCTCTCTCCTGGAAACCAAAACTTATTCTTGGTGAATATTTTAATATAAAACCAGAAAACGGGGTTAAAGAATCTCCAACTGTGACAGTCCTCGGAGACAACTGAATTGTAATTTAGTGTCGGAGTACATTGACGCCATGTTGAGTCGTGTGACAGGCTTGGCAGGACCGGGCAGGTGGACATGAAATAAAGCAGATCTGGGTTCTTTTTTTTTTTCTTCTTCCTTGAGGTGAAAGGCAATTCCCCAGAGCGTGGCGTTGGATTGGGGAGGAGACTGTGTTTTTGTGCTCTGGCAGCAGATGTGAAACCTGTGGACCGGAGAGGTTCTGAGAAGGACACAGCTGACTTGAGGCTGCTGCTGCTGCCTCTGCAACACCACCAACCATGTGTGTAATGGATGTCCACTAAATGAAAGGTTGAAGAACTATCAGAACAACCAGACTCTCGAAGGAAAAAAGCCTGGCAAGCCTTAGCAAGAAGCTTGGTTCGCCACATGCAGACGCTACAGCATGTGAGCCGTCAGTCAAAGGAAAGTGAATCATTTCTAGAAGAAAACAAGCCCTCGAAGGATAAGAAGCTGCACTGTAACTTTTGTATAGAATATGTTTTTTTTTTTCAATATTTGTTAAAACCATCACGATCTATGTCTTGGCTCTGTCAATCATCCTCAGGTATGAGGTGCTCAACTTATAAAACGGTTTGTCCATTGTAATCTGTGGCTATGTTAGTCTGAACATTCACACCATGCTCCAGTTTGGTAGGTGGGCGTAGCCTCGCAGAGAGCAAGAGGGAGAGCGTGAGCACCGTGTACATGAGAATGATTGACAACGGCAAGACAATCCTCCTGGCTCTGATTGGATGTTTCTCAC